GTATCCTGCATCGTCATCCAGCAGCATCATCTCAGTCGATGTCATGGCGCGCAATGCGTTTGGTTTTTCTACGGTTCGGTTGGGTTTTGTTTGGTTTGAGTGGTCGCTCGGTTAGTTGAGTTGCATGCAAAATGGTAGCAAGGAAAAAAAAATGGTTGACTATATGGGTGTGTGTGTGTGTGTGTGTGTGCACAAGTGGCCGCACTTTAGCTGCTGCCACTGGCTCTATTGCAGGTGCAGCTGCAGCGTCATGCTTTATGTTTTCAAATTAAAGTCGAAAGCGTGGCAACACTTAATGTGCGCCACTAGAAGCAGATTAGTTGCATTAAGGTGCGCTGGCGCAGTCTTGGACCCAGACGAGGCAACGCCACCGGCCATAGCCCATGGCAATATTAATATTTAAAATAGAAGCGCCAAAGATGCTAGAAGCACGTTGCAAAGGTAGCGTGGGTGGCGAGTGGCAGGTGGGCAGGTGGGCGGTCATATGCAGCCGGACACACGGCTTAAAGTTGGAGTAAACTATTTTCCAAGTATTAAATATGAAATTAAATTGGAGTTTGTAAAGTTGGCTTTAGATAGGAAAATTACCAAAGGAGTTGGTCAAATTTAATGGAAAGTAGAGAGGGAAGGAGAGGGAGAGAGAGAGTTATGATTGAATGTAGATGTGGATGGGCTTATATATGTATATATTAGATAGATTAAATCGTAAAGAGATTTTCAAAGCTCTCTTTGAGTGGAATAAGATTTCAATTTTGCAAAATATTTGTCAACCATGTTTATAAAGTGTGCATATATACTATATATATATATGAGATCATATTATAATTCTTCTATAGCTTTGCAGTTTTTTCAGCTAACTTATCTGGCTTTTTGCTTTTTATACTTACACCATAAGTAAAAGTACAAGCGCAAAAGTCATTGCCGCAGCAAATTTTATTTCGATTGCAACAAAATGTGGCATAAGGGTCTGTGGTGGAGCTTCACTTTTAAGCCAACTGCTGGCAGTTACAGTTTATGCCGCATTCCATCCCCTACCCAACCCTCCGCCCCCCTCCCACAACATCGAAACGCATCAAATTCAATGAATTTGAAATTTTTTTTCTAAGCGTGCGCTTGATGCTGTTGCTGCTGTTGTTGGCTACAACTGGGATTATGATAATATAGCTGAAGTGCAGTTAGCTTTCGCTATTGCAGCTGCAATAATCATAATAATAATGCAAGTGGTGTTGCTGCTGCTGCTGCTGCTGGTTGGGGGCGCAAAGTCGGCGGTTTGCATTTGATAACGATGATGATGCAGCAGCTCTCGGAATGGCAATTCGAGTAGCAAGTGCCGAAAGGAATTGCTGTTGGGCAGCGCTGATAGGGGTTGCGTCTCTATATACACATAGATGATGATGCTGCAGTTACGGCTGCTGCATTGCAGCACGTAATACGAGAAAAGCGTGTGGCGAGTTCCCCTGTTTTCAGATACGAAATTGTAGCTCACCTCATTATAATTGTGCCATAGCATTGAAGTACAAATATAATGCACCATTGCATAACTATTGTGGTGCTTAGATTGTTAACTGAATATCTAATGCTGATGAGATGTTTAAATGCAGCAAAAAGCGAAAACTATTTTCCACCATAATTTGTGAGCAAATAATAATCAATAGGAATTGAAAATTTTAATTGATTTGCCAAAACAGATTTCGGTTGCAATAAATGTGCATAATTATTATAATATTCATAATTTCGCCATTTTTAGTTTTTTGTTGTTGGTTTTTGGTTGCGGCAATTATAAACAATCAAATTGGAATTTTGGTTGGCCGAAAAATTGTATTGTGCTAGCCAAGCGATAAAACAATTGAAAATTTGCTGGCAGTGTGCAAAAATAATTGCAAAATTTTAGATCGCACATAAATGGGGCTT